CAACGACAACCATGACTGCGTCATTACCACCAGGGCTAGAAGGTAACCCCGTGACGAAATCAATTGTAACTTGCTGTTAGGCACGCTCAGTGGCGGAATCAGCTGCTGTTGACCTGCCTTTTACTTGCACGAGCTCTTCATCACCTGACACATGGGCCACAATCTTACGTGGTGCTGTACGTCGGTCAGCAGCTTCGGCACGTAGTAGTACCGTTGCAGTTGCTGTCGCGTGTTTTCAACCCCGAAATGACCCGAGGTAATTCCATCATGTGCCTCCTGAGTAGCAACTCCCTTAACAGCGAGTATGCGGGTACCTAAATGCGGTTGGTTCTCGGTTTTACGTAATTTTCTCCCTCAGCTTTTGTCAGTGACTGTGGATTTCTGGTGGTGAAAAATGGGTCTGTGCAATATCCGTGGGTGAATAGGCCTGTTAGCTGTCGGTTGGTTTGGGCAAGTAGGATGGCGCCAAGTTGGGCAGTGGATGAGGGCGTCAACGATATTCGATCCCCCTTTTTTTACGTGCGGTGTAGTGAATAGTGGACTCCGGATAGTCCAACCACCATATCTGTCGTGAATTGAGGTTCGGTTGGGCGCGTAGGTACTATAGTGAACAGTATTCTGTTTGTACTGTAATATCGACTTCTGTGAGGTAACCCCGCCACACTTTGAACGCGTGCACGATCGCCAGCATCTCGTGGTCGTGTATCGGGTAGTTGCTGTCAGAGTGAACAAGAGTGTGATTGAACTAGGAAAGAGTTGGGTACAAGTAGGAAACCCTAAACTTACTGTACCCCATAGAAACTACCCCACTACAGCCTAAGCAAACTGTAGCAGATATGACATTTGACAGTTGCTTTCGGGCGGGTGAAGCTTGCAGGACCCATACGTGATTGGCTGAAGGCCGTTCCCAAAGCCATGCAACAATACTTCTCCCACAGCGATGTCACTTCCCTCGATGACCAGTTCGAACGGGCTGTGAGGATCAGCAATGTGAAGCACGAACGACGAGCACAAAATATTTTTTAGGGCCAAGTAAGCACTTTGCTCTTTCTCCCCCCATGTGTACTCAGCCCCCTTCTTTAGCAGATTGGTTAGTGGGGCAGTCAGCTTCGCCATGTCGAGGACGAACCGTCGCACGTAGTTGACGAACCCCAGAAAACTTTGCAACTCGGTCAGGTTTGTCGGCGCGTGCCATGCTTGAATCGCCACGATCTTCTTTGAGTTTTTTTTCACGCCGTTGGGTGAAGTAATATGGCCCAAAAACTCCAGTCTGTCCTGTAAAAACTCACACTTAGAGGCTTTGGCCAGTAGGCAGTTTCTTCCTAGGATCTTAAAAAATGCTTCGATGCCCTATATGTGCTGTGCTCTGAACTGAGCTGTAGGTCATGATATCGTCTAAGTAAACGATACTTATCTAAGAGTTGGCGGAAGGCTTCGTTCATGGTCATTTGAAATGTGGCGGGGGCGTTGGCCAGTCCGGAGGGCATGACGGTGTATCCGAATGAACCGTAGCGGGTGCAAAAATTGGTTTTCGGGCAGTCGGGTAGGTTTACACGGATTTGATGGTAACCCCTTCGGAGGTCGATCTTCGAGAAAACGCGGGCTGTGCGAAGTTGATCAATGAGTTCATCGTCTTGCGGAATAGGGTAACGGGACTTGATCGTAACCCTATTCAATATGCGGTAATATATGAAGTGTCAAAAGACTAGGCAAGAATCAGAAACAGGAAAGAGGGTTTTCACTAGCAGGCGGTTGAGTACATATAGCAAACCCTAATTCGGGCTGTACTCGCTATAGAGTACCCCACTGCAGGCTAGACAAACATCACATTCTGACACACCCCCATAGTCAAAGTGGGGTATAATCAGCACAGCAAGCAGGCAGAGCAGTAGGTTCACAAATACAAGCAAAGCTAGAGGCAGTCATAGAGGGCAAGTGAGGAGGAGGAGGAACTGTGAGAGGAGTGGAGATAGGAGGCGTCTGGTGAAGCCGTAGACACACGGGCAACAGGAACGGCGCGCACGGTGGCTACTGGAGCACTCAACCTCCGGACTACAGGAGTGATTGGCTCCGCGCTAAGCAGCAGCAGGAGCAACAGACCCACGGGCGACTGGCAGCAGCAGGCTCGCTGGGCTACCGGAGTACTCAAACGCCGGACTACTGGCGCTGCTGACGTCACACCGGCTACCTCCGGTCAACCTCCCCCAACTGTCCCACACCCCTTTCACACACTCCCTGCTGTACCCCTAGCATTGCTCACACGCCACCCCCCTCATACCACTCCGACGGCTCCAACACATCCACCCCCCTCAGCGGCAGCTGCGGCAGTGGGAGACGGAGGAGGAGGAGGAGCAGGGGACGGGGCACACACCCTTCACCCCCATACTCGCTACCCCCACACTCGCCACCCCCACACTCGCCACCCCCAAACCCTAACACAGGCAGCAGCGGGGGGTGGTGCGCGGGCAGCAGCTCGGGGGATGGTGCGCGGCTCGGGCGCAGGCTGTACGGGCCGCGCACGGGCCTGGCGCGGGCCGTACGAACCGCGCGCGGGCTGTACGGGCCGCGCGCGGGCCTGGCGCAGCCCGTACGAGCCGCGCACGGGCCTGGCGCAGGCCGTACGAGCCGCGCGGGCCTGGCGCAGGCCATACGGGCCGCGCGTGGGCCTGGCGCAGGCCGTACGGGCTGCGCGCGGGCCTGGCGCAGGTCGCGCGGGCTGCATCGGTCAACGGGGGGCGACGCGCGGGTCCCCGGGGGCGCCTCGACGGGCGACGAGGCAGGAAACCGCCGCGCGCCCCGAGCGCGCAGCAGGAAGAAAAAAACGCCGCGCGCCCTGAGCGCGCGGCACGCAGCAAACATCGAGTACGCAGAGCGTGCGATAGGCAAGACAGCAGCGGAAGCATCGGGTGGGACCACCCACAGGATCGACCAAGGAGGGTCGGCCTGCTCTGATAGCATGTCAAAAGACTAGGCAAGAATCAGAAACAGGAAAGAGGATTTTCACTAGCAGGCAGTTGAGTACATATAGCAAACCCTGATTCGGGCTGTACTCGCTATAGAGTACCCCACTGCAGGCTATACAAACATCACATTCTGACATGAACATGCGAAATCCCCCATCTTTCTTCAATGTGAACAGTATTGGCGTGGCGAAGGGTGACGAACTCGGGTGAATAGTTTTTGTACTCGTGCAAGCTACTTCCGTAGTTCTTCAGTTCAGGTTGGGTAAGTCGAAACTATCACTGTACTCTCGGCTGTGTCCCCGGTTCTAACTCTATGCTGTGGTCATGCGGTCGCTGAGGTGGAAGTCCTTCCGGTAAGTCATCCGGAAAGGTTCCGATGTACTGCTTCAGTATCGATGCCAGGTCATCCGTTACGTCGGCTGGCAGTTTCTGCAAATCACTAGGTTTGTCTGTTGCCTCGGCTCTATTTCGACACCTTCACCACCTCCCCACCGTTCCCCGCCCCCGCCGCAGCCATTGTCATAGTTTTTACCATCACCAGCGTAGTCCTCGAAGTAGCCAGAGCAACCTTTGTCGCCACTGCAGCCTTCGTCACAGCAGCAGCCTTCGTTGCTGCCGCAGCAGTCGTCACTTCCGCGGCTGATCTCCGAGGACTCTGAAGGTGTTGCTGCTGGACGTGCAGGTTCAGGGGGTGCTGCCGGTATAGGTGCCGGCTCTTTGGATGTTGTTCTTTGGGGTGTAGACGTTGGGAGTCCACACCATATTTTCCAACCTTCGGTCCCACGTTTCCTCCCTTGGTCTCGTCTCCGGCTCGTCTCTCTCCTCATTCACACATGTCTCCTCTTTTTCTTGACTCGTCTCGTGCCTCCCACTACTGGGGTCGGCGTCTCTTTCGTGCTCGCCCAGTGTCCTCCATTCCTAGTATCCAGTCCATGCTCTTCTGTTCGCGCCCCCCTGATGTTCCTCCACCCGCTGTACTCCCGTTGCCTCCTCCGCCGTCCCTGTTCTCTCTTCCAATCCGTTTTCTGACTTTATCGGGGCCGCTCGCGCTGTGATCATTTTCAATACAAATTATATATTTTCTTGCTCTCTGTCCTCCTTATATTACATAATTCCCACTCATTTTTTATTCTCCTCTCTTTTCACCCCTTTTTCCTTCCCATTTCTAGTCATCTCCCCCATTTATCGTCCTTGATAGGAGCAATATAATAGATGCATTATATTGATGAAGTAGAAGATGATGCGAGATTTGCGTGACGCTTTAGCGAGATTTCGAGTCAGGTTCTGATGCTCGCGACTGGTCGTTGAACTACGCACCCGCGACACCGATCGCGGAGCCTACCTCCACCGTTTCGGGCGACGCTATATGACATTGCCTGTTTTGGAGGTGCCAGCTATTTTTCTGTCGGTCCGGTACGGTTGAGAGGTGCTCCGAATGGATTAGGTTGAGAGGTGATGGACAGGAGATGATGCTTCCCCACTATTAGTAGTGCCCACTAGTACTAGAGCAAGGCAGTTCACAAGTTGTGGCTTTAAATCGAGGTTTTAGTGCTGTGAAACACGAGCGAGAAGGCAGTAGCACGAGGATTGCGTGGTTGCAGCAAAGGAAACGTGTTTCGCGCTCGCAATGCGTGTGCCGCGGGGATCAGCGTGCGCGTCGCGACACGGATGACCGCACACTGGTCGTGCAGCAACGGAGTCTCTTTCCACTTGCGAACCAATGAATTTCGCAGCTCGCGCGTAGCGCGCCATCTCTTTCGTCGCCCCAATCGCGATTGGCGACTCACCGGGTCCAGCAGAGTCGCAGAAGAACCCTCCTCTCCGCGGCATCCACGTCAGCATCTAGGTTTGCTGTCCGTTCGCGACGCGCATGAGCCAATGGGCTCTCCTGCCCCTCCTCGCATTCCTCGACGCGTTAGATGATCCTTGAGCCGATCCGAACCCATTTCCACCGCCTACCAACCCCCTCACCCTGACCCCCTTTCCTAATCATCCCTACCCGCATTCCCCGCTCCCCTGGCCATCGTCCATCCCGCCATGCCGAGCCAATCCCGGGGGCGGCACGTCGCTTCGCCGTCCGGCGCGGACGCGCAGTGGGACGCGCACTGGGATCCGCCGGCGTTCCGCCGCTGGCTGCTGGGCTTCGCGGCGGTGCGCTTCGACCTCGAGCAGGGTCAGCTCGTCGAGGCGCTCTTCCCCGCGGGCGCGCTCAGCGCGGAGGAGGAGACTGACGTGGCGTTCTCGTCGTTCCCCGACTCCATGTCCGCCGTGCACTCGCGCGCCTCGCTCTACGACTGCCTCTTCTTCTTCCGCATCCGCCGCCGCGGCGTTCCGCCTGCCCTCGCCGCCACGAGCGGTGGGGTTGATAACGGGGCGGGCAGCAGCGGCGACGGCACGGGGGAGGGGGCTGGGCGGAGTGTGCTCGCCGCGCAATCTCCGCTGCTGCAGCAGCAGCACGTGCACACTAGTGTCGGTCTGGGGGCAGCAGGGGGAGCAGCCACGCGGGCGACGAGTCGGGCAGAGCGGTCCGCCGCGTCCGCGCGGAGGCAGTCCGCCAGCCCGCCGCGGTGGGACCCGGGAACCAATCGCGCGACAACACCTGGCACGACCCCGCGGCGAGGCATTAGCGTGGGGCACGGCGGGGGGCCGGCGGGGGCGATGGCGGAGAGCATCAGCGCGCCCGCGTCGACTCTCACCAGCCCCACGGGGCTCGTCGCCGCCGCCGCCTCGCCCTTCGCGCGGCTCGACAGATGCGCCACGGAGCCGCTCGCGGGCGGCGAGGGGGGAGACGAGGCGGAGGTACAGTGGCGCGCGCAGGCGGGGGCTGGCGCGCTGAGACACTCCGCCAGCGCGCGGGGGAGCGCGGGGCAGCGGGAGGAGGAAGCGGCGGTGGGCAGATCCGCGTCCATGGGGGCGGGGAGGCGCGCGATGCCCGCGCACAGCCAAGACGAGGACGACCGAGGGGGGAACGGCGGGTCTGGGGGCGGAGCAGCAGCAGCAGGGGGGGCGGGGAGGGGCGGGGCGCGATACCTGTACGGGTTTGTGTTCAACCGGCAGCGGCACGACGAGAGGCTGCCACGAGGCGGCGAGCAGAAGTCGGTGGTGGTGCTCTCCGAGCGCCCCTTCTCCGCCGCCTTCCGCCGCCTCGCCCAGGTCGTCGGCCCGCTCTACTTCGACCGCGGACCAATCGCGTTCGTCCAGGTGGCCGCGTGGGTCTCCCTGTGGCCTGCGCCGTACCAGCCGAGCGTGGTGGGCGGCGGGGGAGTGGGCGGGGCGGCGGGCGGCGTGATGGAGCTGCCGGTGGGGCCGCGCACGTCCCTGCGCGTGCAGCTGCCGCCCGCCCACACACTGCCGCCCGCGTCGCACTCGGCGCTGGACGACTTCACGGCCGCCATGGCGCCCGCCCCCCTCTCCACCTCCGCGCCCCAGGTCAGTCAGCCGCCCAGCTGAGCCGCCCAGGTTAGGTCATGCCAGACAGGCGCACAGCAGGTAGCGCACAGCAGGTAGCGCACAGCAGGTAGCGCACAGCAGGTAGCGCACAGCAGGTAGCGCACAGCATGTAGCGCACGAGCATACCCGCACTCGCCCTCCCTACACCACTCCCCATTCCCCCTCCATTCGTTCCCACTGGTCATGCCAGGTAGGTAACACCACGGGCAGCACAGCATCAGCCTGCACCACACACACAGCATCAGCCTGCACCACACACACAGCATCAGCCTGCACCACACACACAGCATCAGCCTGCACCACACACACAGCATCAGCCCGCACCACACACACAGCATCAGCCTGCTCCACACACTCATACCCCCCATATTCTTTTTCTGATTCTGATCTATCTTTTTATATTTTCTTAAAAAGACAAAAATTTATTAACAGTATAGAAATAGATTAAAAAGTCATTAATGGAAACATGCTTAGCTTAACAAACTGTGAACACTACCAAATAGAAAATGGTAGTGTTCCCCGAAGCCAATGTTTTCAACACTGCACCTCCACTTACCCCTCACTCCATACACCGTTTTCCTTTCACCTCCCAATCACCCCTCCATCCATTCACTCACCTTCCCCATGCGGCCCCCTTCCCCCTCCCCTCTCATCTGCAGTCCCAAGAAGGGTGACGTGTTAGGCTCATCCCACCCCTGCATGCATCCGCCCCATGCCACAACCCCGCAGGGCATATTCCACGACGCGGACGTGTTTGGCATCCTGCGCGGGGTGGCGGCGCAGCTGTGGGTGCTGTGGGAGCTGCTGCTGCTGGGCGAGCCGCTGCTCGTCATCGCCCCCACGCCCGCACAGTGCTCCGAGGCCGTCGCCGCCCTCGTCGGGCTCATCGCGCCCCTGCCCTGCTCGCAGGACTTCCGCCCCTACTTCACCATCCACGACCCCGACTTCCCCGCGCTCAACGCGCTGAGGGACGGCGACGCGCTGCCCGCCGTGGTGCTGGGGGTGACGAACCTCTTCTTTCTGAAAGCGCTCAAGCACCTGCCGCATGTGCTGTCCGTGGGGCGCCCGCCGCACGGCGGGCAGGGCGTGGCGGGGGCGGCGCGGTACGGGGCGGGGGCGGGCGGCAGCTTGCAGCCGAACGGGCAGGTGGCGGTGAGGGAGAGCGCGGGGCGGCTGCCACATCAGCAGCAGTCGCCGCTGCGACGCCTGGCCACTGGCGGGCTGCTGAGGTAGGGGGCTGGGGGGGGAGGGTGTGAGGCATGGTGAGGCAGAGCAGGCATGGTGAGGCAGAGCAGACTGCTGAGGTGAGGAATGGTGCTGAGGGTGGCGGGCAGAGGTGGTGTGTGTGTGGGACTGCTTTGGCTGAGGGGCAGACAGGGGTGCTCGAGTGGCGCGGCAGCAGCAGCCCCTGCTGCCGTGCCTAGCAGCGGTGCATTCAACCCCCACCCATTGCCCACCCATTGCCCACCCATTGCCCACCCATTGCCCACCCATTGCCCACCCATTGCCCACCCATTGCCCACCCATTGCCCACCCATTGCCGTGTGTGTGCTCTCAGGCTGTGGACGATGCAAGGTTGAGTCCAGTCAATGCTGTCTTACACCACTCCTTTCCCTCCCCTCCTCTCCTTACTCCCACCCTCGTCCATCCCCATCCAATTCCATCCATCTGCACCCACGCCTATCCACGCCCCACCCCTCTGTGTGTCCTGGCAGCATGCTGGCGGCGGGCAGCAAGGGCTTGGCGCGCATGAGGGGGGAGGGGCCGCTGTCACTCATGGGGGAGCACAGGGAGGCGCTGTGGACCAATCACGTGCCGGCAGTCAAGCCCGACACCGCCGTGCTCAACCGCCTTCTAGACGCCTCCACTGCTCTGCACCCCTCCGCCTCCCACCGCACTCACCGTTCCGGCTCCTCCGCCACCAATGCTGCTGATGCTGCTGCCTCCCCTGCTGACGCCACCTCTCTCGCCTCTGCTGCTGCAGCTGCTGCAGGGGTGGCAGCAGGAGGAGGGAAAGGCGGCCGCCCTGCATCGGCGTCTGCCCCCCCATCCGCCGCGGCGTCTCTCTTCAGCCTGCCGGGCGCCGTGGCGGGCTCGCTGCTGGCGGGCGTCACAGGCATGCCAGGGCTGGACGATGCGGCAGAGGGCAGCACAGGGGGAGGGGGAGGCGGGGTGGGGGGGCGGGGGGCGGGGGTGAGCGGGGAGACGGTGGCGATGGTGAACAACGAGGTGCTGCGGCGGCACTTCATCGAGCTCACCACCAACTTCCTCGCCCCCTTCGGCCCCTTCCTCCGCGCCGCCGCCCCGCCGCCCGACGCCTCGCCCTACTGCGACCCGCCGCCGCTGCCGCCCTTCGACGCCGCGGAGTTTCTCGGGCAGCTTGCCGCCCGCGGCCCGGGGAAGTTTCTCGCGAAGCGGCTGCAGGCGGGCAGGTGGCTGGAGGTGTACAGAAGGTTCCTGGAAGGGCCGAACTTCATGCCGTGGTTTCAGCGGCGGCGCGCCGTGGCGGAGGCGGAGCAGCACCGGCTGTGGCGGGCGGCGCGGCTAAGGGCGGACGTGAGGAAGGCGGTGGGGGGCATGGGCGAGGCAGACCTGGTGGAGGCGTTCCTGTGCGTTGAGAGGCACATGGCGGTGGAGAGCAAGGTGAGGCACATGGCGGTGGAGAGCAAGGTGAGGCACATGGCGGTGGAGAGCAAGGTGAGGCACGAGGGTGGGTGCTGTGTGTGGTGTGGTGTGGTGTGGTGTGGTGGTGGGTGTATGTATGGATGTGCGCATCTCAGCATTCACCCATTCTTTTTCAAAACCAGCTTCACCCCGGTGTGCATCCTCTCTCCCCCCCTGCCTTGCATCCCCCGGGCACGGTGTGTGTGAGCGCATGAGCAGGCGTGGCGGAGGGCGGGCGAGTCCCCTGCAGTGGGCAAGCTGAGGGGCGACCTGCGCGTGCTCTGGGCGCACATGCCGCCCGCCACGCAGCGCCTGCTGCTCCTCTCCCCCGCCCACGCCGCCTCTCTCCAGCTGCCGCCCTCCTCCGCCCCTGAGGATGCTGTGCGGGGCTCGTCGGCGGTTTCTGGGAGTGGTGAGTCAGGAGACGCTCGGTGGGGGCAGCGGGCGAGAGAGGGCACGGGGAGTGGCAGGGAAGGGGGTAGTGGAGCAGCAGCGGCACAAGGAGCAGCGGCAGCGGCAGTGGGGAGGGGAGGCGGGTGGGCTGGTTGGTTGTTTGGGAGGAGGACCGTGGAGAGCTCGGGGAGTGGGAGTGGTGCAGGGGAGAGGCGGGTGACAGCAGGCAGTGATGGGGGGCGGAGAGAGGAGGCAGCAGAGGAAGCAGGGGCAGCAGAGGCAGGGCGGGGAGGATCAGTTGGGGCTGCTGCCACAGCTGCGGCTCCTGGTTCCGCTTCTGCAGGCTTGGACCACAACGCCAGCTCAGGTGATCTGTCAGGTGATTCTTCAGGTGGTGTGGGCGGCAGCGGGGGGCAGAGTGGGACGGTGGAGATGGTGGAGGCAGCGCAGCACCTCTCAGCGCTCGTGGCCAATCTCAGCCTGCCACCTGTCATCGCCCTCAACGGCGAATCACACCCCTCATCCAACCCTGGCAAAGCCTGGTCTGAAGCTTCCAGCCCTCCCCGAGGCTCCTCTGCAGGCTTGGGCCGAACGTCAAGCGGCGCTTCTCCACGAACGGCCGGAATTGGGTGGGGAACGGACATGTGGGACGGCAGCAGCGTTGGCTTGACGAGCAGCAGCGCGCGGAGCAGCACGCCTGCCCACCCCGCCTCCACCACCCCCAGCAGCACCACCAGCACGGGCATGGGCAGCGCAGCACACGTGGCGGGTGCACGGTTCGCCGTGTCCCCCGTGGTGCCGTTTGGGCGGCGCCCCGGGCTGTCAGTGGGGCGCACGCCGCCACGCCTGTCGTCCTCTGCCCCCGGCACGCCCCTCCACCTGCACCCGGGAGGCACCTTCCTGCACGCCCGCCCCGTCCCCGCACACTCCGCCGCGCCGCACCCAAGGGGGAGGTACACAGGCGGGGGTGGCGCAGGGGCGTTAGGCGGCGAGCGGTTGAGTGCGTGTGCGAGCGCAAGGGAGGAAGCGGGGAGCGGAGGGGTGGGGGGCATGGAGGGCGGGGGGGCCATGGAGGGCGGGGGGGTGAGGGTGGGGCGCACGGCCACGGAGCCGGTGCTGCCGTCGTCCTTCCACCCGCTCGCTTGATGCGCCTCCCACGCCATGCCTCACCCCGTTTAGGGGGCTGGCAGACTGGCGCACAGAGGGAGATGGGCGCTCCTCACTGCTCCCAGTGCCCACAGCATCAGCATTGCACGCTGTGGCAGCGCGTGGCCGTTGGTAATTCTGCCCGGGTGGTGCTGTGGCTGGCGCCCGCGCTCTCCAAAACTAAACACATGGCACCATTTATTGCGTCGGCTGGAGGTCACATAGTAGAACACCAGTAGTGAGTGCGTGTATTAGAGATTGAAGGGAATGCTGAGAAGGTGCATGCCTCGTGGCGCCTCCTGTATGCCACAGCGCTTGTGAGTGCCTGGCGCACAGGGGAGCAGGGGATTGGAGGGGAAGGGGGTGGCAGCAGGAATTTGTCTACTTGCCGTTCCACTTGTGTAGTGCAGTGGGAAAATGGTCCATTCCATTGTGCTGCACGAGGGCGAATTTTCTAGTTATCACTACCGTGCTCACAAAGTGGATTTACCACCAACTTTGGAAATCATAGTGCTTTCTGGTTTGAGAGTTTTTGAATTGGTCAGGTTTTATTTTCCGTTTGCCTGAAACTCAGTAAACAAATGGTAAAGAGTTGCCAGGGTGTTGCAGCTAGATAATAAATCTCTTTTCTTTTGCTACAAGGCTGTACTAAATTGAACTGTAACGAGAGCATCGATTTTTCCCTAACGAGTACAGCACGAACTCTACCAGCACTGCGCAGATTTCATGAGTGGAGAAGCTGACTGCTACGCACCTGCACGCCATTCCCTAAACCGCCGCACCACTCGACGCCGCTGCGCAATCACCCGCCTCCAGCTCCTTCCCCTCCTTTCCGCGCCCATCCGCCCACGGCGCCTCCGCCAGTAGAGTCTCGATCTCCGCCTCGATTGCCCCGTAACAGCGCTCCTTCCCCCTCGCCCATTCTTCGCCTTCCCCGGACTTCCCCCGGCTTCCCCCGCCCTAGCCACGAGAAGCGCGCGGCGCCATGTCGTTTATGCGCGGCGATCTGCTGCAGAAGGCGCGGCTGCTGATGCGCGGCGGCGTGGTCGACCCGCCCAAGTGGCTCGACGCGCTCTCCAAGTGCGTGGGGAGGGGGGGCGGGGGGATGGGATGTTGGCGGAGAGGGGGATGGGGAGGGGAGTGGGGGAAGGAGGGGTGGGGGAATGGGGGGAAGGGAATTGAGGTGGGGGGACTGGGAGGGGCGGAGCAAGAGGGCGAGTTGCGGGTCCGTCACCGTCTGGGGACACGGGGAGGACGCTCAGTAGCCAGGCGAGCCGCGCTCGCCGGAGGAATGATGAGCTGCCAGCGCGCTAGCCGCCGCGGCCGTGATGTGCCGCGGTGGGCGTGCAGTGCCGTGCAGTGCAGTGCAGTGCCGTGCAGTGCAGTGTAGTGCAGTGCAGTGCCGTGCAGTGCAGTGCAGTGCAGTGCAGTGCCGTGCAGTGCAGTGCAGTGCAGTGCAGTGCCGTGCAGTGCAGTGCAGTGCAGTGCAGTGCAGTGCAGTGCAGTGCCGTGCAGTGCAGTGCAGTGCAGTGCAGTGCAGTGCAGTGCAGTGCAGTGCAGTGCAGTGCAGTGCAGTGCAGTGCAGTGCAGTGCCGTGCAGTGCAGTGCAGTGCAGTGCAGTGCAGTGCAGTGCCGTGCAGTGCAGTGCAGTGCAGTGCAGTGCCGTGCAGCCCAGCGCCGGACCTCGTTCAGGATCATCTCATGCTTCCCTTTCTCCCGCCCATCCCCAGTCCCCTTCCTTTGCCCCTCCCTCCCCCTCCACTTCTCCCCCTCCCTCCGCTTCTCACTCTCCCTCCGCTTCTCCCACTCCGCATCTTTCCCGCGCCTCTCCCCCTCCCCCCTTCCTCCTGCTCAGAGTGCCTCCACAGCCCAAGGCGCGGCGCTGCCCCAAGGCGCGGAGGATAGAGTTCCCAGAGGACCCTCTAGTGGAGTCGTATTACGCAAGACACCCTGAGGCCAAGCTGCAGGCATACCGGTGAGGCGCTGCCACTTCCCTTGCTGCCGGGACACGTCTCTCATTGTACTGACCCCATCGCCCAATCACCCCCACCATGTAAGCCCATCTCACCCCATCTCACCCCACGTCACCCCTCGTCACCCTTGTCACCGCGTGTCACCGCATCGCACCGCTGTGGCAGGCTGCAGGGCTTCGACCCGCCAGTGGCTCGGCGGTTCGCGTGGCGGCAGCTGGAGCTGATGCAGCAGCAGGGACTGACCAAACGACAGGCCAGGGATGCTGTGGAGGTGAGCGGTGATGTGCGGTGATGCAAGGTGAGGTGATGTGAGGTGAGGCGATGTGAGGTCATGTGAGGTGGTGCGAGCTGATGCAGCGGGGTGAGCGGTGATGTGAGGTGAGGTGATGCGTCGATTTGCTGTGTGCGGCAGGGGTGCTGCAGTGGATGGCGAGAGGCGCTGTGGTGGCGGCAGTTCTTCACTCTCTCATCCTCGCCTCCCCTCATCCTCGCCTCCCCTCCTGCTTTGTCTCCCTTTTCCTATGCGCATGTCACCTCATTGCGCATGTCACCTCATTGTGCATGTCACCTCATTGTGCATGTCACCTCATTGTGCATGTCACCTCATTGTGCATGTCACCTCATTGTGCATGTCACCTCATTGTGCATGTCACCTCATTGTGCATATCACCTCATTGTGCATGTCACCTCATTGTGCATGTCACCTCATTGTGCATGTCACCTCATTGTGCATGTCACCTCATTGTGCATGTCACCTCATTGTGCATGTCACCTCATTGTGCATGTCACCTCATTGTGCATGTCACCTCATTGTGCATGTCACCTCATTGTGCATGTCACCTCGTTCACCTCGTTGTGCATATCACCTCATTGTGCATGTCACCTCATTGTGCATGTCACCTCATTGTGCATGTCACCTCATTGTGCATGTCACCTCATTGTGCATGTCACCTCATTGTGCATGTCACCTCATTGCGCATGTCACCTCATTGCGCATGTCACCTCATTGTGCATGTCACCTCATTGTGCATGTCACCTCATTGTGCATGTCACCTCATTGTGCATGTCACCTCATTGCGCATGTCACCTCATTGCGCATGTCACCTCATTGTGCATGTCACCTCATTGTGCATGTCACCTCATTGTGCATGTCACCTCATTGTGCATGTCACCTCATTGTGCATATCACCTCATTGTGCATGTCACCTCATTGTGCATGTCACCTCATTGTGCATGTCACCTCATTGTGCATGTCACCTCATTGTGCATGTCACCTCATTGTGCATGTCACCTCATTGTGCATGTCACCTCATTGTGCATGTCACCTCATTGTGCATGTCACCTCATTGTGCATGTCACCTCATTGTGCATATCACCTCGTTGTGCATGTCACCTCATTGTGCATGTCACCTCATTGTGCATGTCACCTCATTGTGCATGTCACCTCATTGTGCATGTCACCTCATTGTGCATGTCACCTCATTGCGCATGTCACCTCATTGCGCATGTCACCTCATTGTGCATGTCACCTCATTGTGCATGTCACCTCATTGTGCATGTCACCTCATTGTGCATGTCACCTCATTGCGCATGTCACCTCATTGCGCATGTCACCTCATTGCGCATGTCACCTCATTGTGCATGTCACCTCATTGTGCATGTCACCTCATTGTGCATGTCACCTCATTGTGCATGTCACCTCATTGTGCATGTCACCTCATTGTGCATGTCACCTCATTGTGCATGTCACCTCATTGTGCATGTCACCTCATTGTGCATGTCACCTCATTGTGCATGTCACCTCATTGTGCATGTCACCTCATTGTGCATGTCACCTCATTGTGCATGTCACCTCATTGTGCATGTCACCTCATTGTGCATGTCACCTCATTGTGCATGTCACCTCATTGTGCATGTCACCTCATTGTGCATGTCACCTCATTGTGCATATCACCTCATTGTGCATGTCACCTCATTGTGCATATCACCTCATTGTGCATGTCACCTCATTGTGCATGTCACCTCATTGTGCATGTCACCTCATTGTGCATGTCACCTCATTGTGCATGTCACCTCATTGTGCATATCACCTCATTGTGCATGTCACCTCATTGTGCATGTCACCTCATTGTGCATGTCACCTCATTGTGCATGTCACCTCATTGTGCATGTCACCTCATTGTGCATATCACCTCATTGTGCATGTCACCTCATTGTGCATGTCACCTCATTGTGCATGTCACCTCATTGTGCATATCACCTCATTGTGCATGTCACCTCATTGTGCATGTCACCTCATTGTGCATGTCACCTTATTGTGCATATCACCTCATTGTGCATGTCACCTCATTGTGCATGTCACCTCATTGTGCATGTCACCTCATTGTGCATGTCACCTCATTGTGCAATCGCCCGACCTCCACAACCCTTCATCTGATCACCCCTGCCCCCTCTCCTTCTCCCTCTCCCCCCCAACCCCACCACCAGGCGGAGTTCACACGGGCGGAGCAGGAGGAGGAGGAGCGGGCGGTGCAGGAGTGGCGCCGGGCCATTCGGGAGGGGCGCCAGCCGGCAGCAGTGCGGTGCAGTGCGGTGGAGGAGGTGCAGCAGGAGGAGCGCGCTCACATGCTAGCAGGCCTTGAAGCCATGGGGGCTCAGCTCGAGGCTGCTGCTGCCGAAGCTGAGGCGGAGGCTCGGGCTGCGCAGAGAAGCGTTGGGAGATAGAGCCCCCCGGATTAACCGCACAGATTTGTGTGATTGAAAGACAAGGCAGCCCTTGTAGAAACGTTTGAGTTTGTGTAGTGTAGCCAGCAGGGAGGGAGGGTCTGCGGCATCGTGTTCTTTCAGGGCACGTGGAGATGACATTTCGAGCTCTCACGTCGGGTTTTTTCCAGGAGTTGGGGAATTCAAGTTATTGCTCAAATTGCAGCACACACTGCACTGACTAAAGCCACTGCTGCTCACATTTCATCATCCTCATTGTCGCTGGCTCTGCTCCTTCGTCTTGCCTGCTGCACTCTTGCTTGCGTTGAGTGCCACCGTGTCTCGTGGCCTGGAATGAAATCGTTCTGCCTGTGAATGTGTCGGGTCGTCTGCAGCAAGGCCATGTTAGAAGAACTACCGTCATACCCTGGATATGCCCCCATGGGGGGCACTAATAAAACATGTTTTTTTTAGGGGGTGGGCTTATAATATAGTAAAATTATAAGCGCCGGCGTTTATGTTATGTGTAAGGAAAATTCCTTTTCCTTACTTAGCATCCCTGCTCAACGCGTACATCACTGTAGCACCACAGTCGGCACCGTTACCACTCGCAACCCTCGCATCGACAATCCGCCCGCCACCTTCGCACATCGCACCCCGACCTCACGGCTCGGCGGGTAACCCGCGCTCCGGGCCTCCGCTTCGACACTTTTTCCCAAACCTCAGTCCCAGGCCCGTCGCGCGACAACCACAGTCCATTACCGTTACCACTGTAGTTTCGCTATATATTCTTCGCTTATGCCTTCGCTCATTGTACTCTTGCTTCGATAGTGCAATTCTCGTTCGTTCACTCAATTGCACTCGTAACACTTGGTATTCAGAGCCTACGATCTCCTCTCGGACCGCACCCACACCTTCGCTTCCCCACTATCTCAATTTTTGGGGGGGGGTAGACGTCTCTCAGCGACACAGCACCGCCGCTCGTAGTGCTCTCTCGTAAGCACGCACGGCCACGACCGAGGCTCTTGCTGAGCTCGCCCGACACCCCCGCCATGGCCGAATTCACGCTCGCCACATTGACGCAGGAGCAGCTCGACCGTCTGGTGCGCCAACTTGAAGATTCGGCGCTCGAAATTGCGACGCTCACGGCGGAACATGACTCCGCGCGTCAGCAATCAACGATGTGTCAGAATCCCAACCACTAGACCATTGGGATAAAAGGGCTTGTTCGTGTAGCGGGTGAGTGCGCCCATAACCGCCCAGGCCAACGTGCCTGTAACTCTTCCCTAGGATCAATCGGGGATCACCAGTGGACCTCTGACACGATGAACATTCCAGCGCCACCACACGCACCGACAAATGCATCTGCATTATCAGACGAGCCGATCGTCATCTCGTCCGGCACACCAACACAAAACAACAGCGTGGGACAGCGCTCAGGCGCAGCCAGCGATGGCGCCGCCCAGCCGATGCCTGGCATGGGAGGAAACAGGGTCGCACCAAGCCCGCGGGAGCCTCGCGAAGCCCATCGGCACGTGGAGTTCGCGGCGACAAGTGGCGAATAGGCCATTATGGCACCAATGCCACTCAAGCCGCAACGCCCGCCCTGCTTCGACCCGAGCCAGCGTGGAGGTCCGACGGTTCAATCGTGGGTCTTCACGATGAACGTCTTCTTCGACGCGAATTACGTCGAGTCGGACGCAGCGAAGATTCGGTATGCCGTTTCACTGCTAAGAGGCCCCGCCATGGACTGGTGGCGAGTCATCGTGACGTCGCCACGCGCCTACGAGCCACCGTCGCAAGAGGAGGGGCCCACGGGCCCAGCTGTCACCTGGAGTTCATTCTGCGAGACCGCCCAATACAGCACGTGGGATGCGTGGTGCGCAGGGCTTCGGGCGCGCTTCGAGCCGATCGCAGCTTCTATTTCGGCGCGTCAGAGATTGCGCACTTGGCGGCAGCTTGGATCGGTTCAAGACTATACGAGTGGTTTTCTCGCATTATGCGAGCAAGTCGGCTACATGCACAAAGCGGAGCGGGTGGACCGTTACGTCGGAGGGCTGAAGCCGGACATCTCGCACGACATCATGCTACGCGGGCTCTCGAACTTCAACGAGATTCTCGCGCTCGCCGAGAAAATCGACATTTTACGCCGTCCGAGACCGGGGTCCTACTATGGACATCGTCCTCGGGGACCGATCGAGCACGCCACTGTACACGCTGTTGCGACGAATGCAGCTGCCGCGCCGTTTAAGGGGCGCTGCTTTGCTTGCAACAGGCCGGGCCATCGCAAGAGCGAATGCCCAGAGGAGCTAAGGCGCCGCGGAGCAGAGCAGGGGAGGGAGTCTCCAAAGCAGGGAAACGCCAGCAGTCAGTAGGAATCGGGCCAACTACTGACGAGACTGCCTGCTCGCCCAACCCCACCGACCCTCACCGAGTCACAGTACCGATTCATGCTATCGATCAGACTCGGACGAATAAGGAGGGTACAGCGACGGATTGCCCAGTACTGATCCACGGGAAAATACAGGGAGCAGCAGTGAAGATTTTTATCGACGGAGGAGCAAGCCACAGTTTAGTTGATACCGCAACCGCACGAAAACTGCAGCTGACGCTTAGCCGTTGCTTACCGGAGATAGATGCACGCTTAGTCGACGGCACGCCACTGGCCATACGGGAAAAGGTAGAGAGAGTCAAAGTCCGCTGCGGGGGAAATTTCGGGTTTACACAGGAAATGCTCGCAACGACACTGGATGGGCACGATATTTTACTGGGACGTGATTGGCTGCGACGGTATAACCCGCGAATTGACTGGACGACGGGTAGCTGCACCGTGCGAAGTAGTGGTAACTGGGTCGAGCTACCTCGCTGGCAGTCGCCCGAGTCTTCAACGGTACACGTCAATGCCATCACAATGAAACGGGCTGTCGCTGCTAGTGCTGACGTGTAGGCAGTAGACATCGCAGTAGTAGAGGAAGCAGAGCAGCCGAGTGATTTCAAGAAACTGCTGGCAACCTTACGGCCCGAATTACAGGAACTGTTGAAACGATACCCCGGGATTTTCCCCGACGACTTACCGGAAGGACTGCCACCTCAACGAGCACATGACCACCGAATCGAATTAGAACCGGGGGCACAGCCAACCGTACAGGGCCAGTTCAGACTGACACAGCTCGAGCTCGACGAACTAAGGAAGCAGTTAGATTACCTGTTAGAGAAAAAAATCATCAGACCGAGCTCGTCACCGTTCGCCGCACCGATACTATTCACGCTGAAAAAAGACGGGGGTTTTCGCATGTGTATCGACTACAGAGCACTGAACAGGGTAACAGTCAAGTCGCGGTACCCCATTCCCCGCGCCGACGAACTGATCGACCAACTGCGAACAGCACGGGTTATAACGAAAATAGATTTACGGGGAGGTTACCATCAGATTAGGGTCGAACCATCGGACTGCGCCAAAACAGCTTTCAGGACTAGGTACGGGTCGTTCGAGTACACTGTGATGCCATTCGGGCTGACCAACGCACCGACGACTTTTCAGATGACCATGAACGAGGCATTTAGGCCGCTCTTAGATAAATGTGTAATAGTTTACCTCGACAACATCCTAGTGTACAGTCGGGATAAGCAGCAGCACTTAGCAGATCTGGAAGCAGTGTTTAAGGTTTTAGACGAGCACAGATTACTGACCAAGGGTTCCAAGTGCGAGTTCTTCCAGGAGAGGTTAGAATTTTTGGGGCACGTTATTTCGGAGGCTGGAGTTGAAATCGACCCAAAGAAGCTGGATACGGTAAAAGCGTGGCATCCCCCGATGAACATCACGGAGCTGCAGAGCTTTTTAGGGTTCGTTAATTATGTGCGTCAGTTCGTCCCCGATATGGCACGGTTAACTGCCCCACTGACGGATTTACTGCGGAAGGGGGTCGCTTTTACGTGGGGGGAGAAAGAGCATGCTGCCTTATCTGCCCTGAAAAATGTTCTCTGTTCACCGCCCGTCCTGCGCATCGCCGACCCACACCGTGTCAGAATATTATGCTCTAGCCTGTAGTGGGGTGCTCTATAGCGAGTACAACCCTTCTAGGGTTTGCTATTTGTATCCTCATTCTTGCTAGTGCAACTCCTCCTTCTTTGCCTAAACTGTTTCTTGCCTAGCTAGGGCTTTCCTAGCTATGGCGCCTTCTTCTACTGCTTATTTTCACCTGGTATCAGAGCGATATGCTCCTGGCCTGTGGGCCCCACCTCACTGCTTCCGCTGCTACTGCTACTCCCTGTCCGCCGCGAGCCCCGTGGTGCGCGGCGTCGAAATTAGGTTTTTTCAGCCCGCCGTGCGCCCCGAGGCGCGCGGCGGTTTTCTGCCCGCCGTGCGCCCCGAGGCGCGCGGCGGTTTTCTGCCCGCCGTGCGCCCCGAGGCGCGCGACGGGTTTCTGCCCCGTCACTCGGCGCGTCGCCCCCAGGAGGCGCTACGACGGGCGACGGGGACCCGCGCGTCGCCCCCCGTCGCCCGTCGTGGCCTGCGCGCGGCCCGTACAGCCGGCGCGCGGCCCGTACGGGCTGCGCCAGGCCTGCGCGCGGCCCGTACGGGCTGCGCCAGGCCCGCGCGCGGCCCGTACGGGCTGCGCCAGGCCCGCGCGCGGCCCGTACGGGCTGCGCCAGGCCCGCGCGCGGCCCGTACGGGCTGCGCCAGGCCCGCGCGCGGCTCGGGCCGCCTGCGCGCGGTTCGGGAGGCTGTGCCAGGCCCGTGGGCGGCCCGTTCTTCGCTGCCCCTGTCCTCCCCGCTGTCCCCCGTGCTTCTGAAGGCGCCCCACCCCTCCTTCTGCCCGTTCTCCTGGATTAGGGTTTGGGGGTGGGGGGTATGGGGGTGCAGCTTCTGTGTGCCGTTCCCTGCTCCTCCTCCTCCTCCGTCTCCCTGTGCTGCAGCTGCCGCTGAAGGGGGGTGGACCTGTTGGAGCCGTCGGAGTGGTACTAAGGGGGGGTGAAGGGGGAGTGGAGCTAGGGGTTAAGCAGGGGATGTGTGTCAGGGG